ATGGAAGTAACTTTACACTATATTTCATAGGTTCAAAGGGGGCCATGAGTTAAAGGTTAGGAACCACTGGACTAATCTATACTTTGATACAACTTAAACATCAAAAAGCAATGAATTATAAAACAAAGACTAAATATTCTTTTTATAAAATTTATACTAAAATAAGACTGGACTACCACAGAAAGAAATGGGGAAAAAAATTTGCCTTGTCAGCCATGTATCGAAAGATACATGATCGCCTTCATGATCACACATGGCACATAACTGATTATAAGATACAAGCACAGTAAATATACATCTTTTCCATTGTTTACTTTTATAAGATTTTAGCTGTTTTCCGTTCAGTTGTTTATGGCTGTACGCAACGAGTATAGAGTTGCGAAGAATGCTTTTATCATTCTTTTTTAACTTATTTAACTAGAAGATGGGATAAAGAGATAGTAGAAAAAATGTTGGTCTATTGTAATTTGGTCTCTCAAAAGAGAAACTCGCATGATACATGACATGCGCGATAAAATCATTTTTTATAAGTGAAAATTTGGGGGTCGCATGATACGCAAGACAGTGTTACACAAGTATATACAGTAACTATCAACATGGTAAGATTTCTTAGTAACATTTGTTTTTCTACACTGATGCAATAAGGAAAAAAATATTCCTCCCCTTCTTACAGTGCTTTACAAGGCCAGAGAGCCATTCAGGGTAAAGATGGAGTAAGAGGCACAGTTTATGGGGATATGTGGGGAAGATAACCATCAACTCTAAATTTGAAAAGGTTAAGATTGTAGTGATCAGGGAAGCATCCTCTTGGGAGTCAGTTCCATTTTGTGGAAGCAGTTCAAGTATGATTTGCATCTCACCAAAAACAAAATTAAAATAAAACATTCAAACTAAAAATAAACTAAGACTTGTCCACCCTACAAAAATCATGGTTTTTTTTGTAGGTTCCCTGTGAATTTGGTATTGTAGTATATATATATATATATATATATATATATATATATATATATATTAGTTACTCCAAAATTCGCTTGAGGATGAAATGGAACTAATGTCTAATTTAATTACAAAATTAAATTCGTAGCTTTTAGCTTCCATTTTTGAAACATGGTTAGAACTGTGTAGCAAAAAAAAACATTTTAAATCAATTTATTATTATATATATATATATATATATATATATATATATATATATATATGATTGATATATATATGATTGAATGGCAATGTGTGAGTTCTTGTGATGAATAAGCAAATTGTAATGAATGAATTGGTCATGAATCTGATTAGCTAGGTCTACGATAGAAAGTGTCTACCAGCCCCACCGTACTTCTCTTTCAGCCGTGTGCCAAAATTGTTATTTTACAACACTAAATCATTATTAAAAAGTGTGTAATTTCAAAAGCACTTAATTTTAATTCAAATTTAAGTATGGCATATTTACAATCAAAGATTGAAGCAAATTAAGGCTGTGGAGGCAGGGGGGAATGCAGTATCAAACCCTGACAGAGAGAATACATTCTCTTTCTTAATTCTCTTGAATGCACAGGTTGATAGACATAATTCCACTGTTGAAAGAGAGAGAAGGGGATAAAAAAAAGAAAAAGGGGATAAAAAAAATGAAAGAGAAAAAAAAAAAAGCAAAAAAAAGCAGGTATCTACTTAAATATGGGTATCCACAAAATGTGTTGAGTATCAAGAAATTAGGATGTAAAACTTAAAACAATTTTTGTGAGAAGTATTCTACCAAAAGAAATTAGTGAACTTTCACCTGTAACTAGTGCCTCTTTCATATGGCATTATGCTAGACTTTAAATAGCAAGTTTAATGCTGGGGGGGGGGACGACACAGAAAAAAAAAAGTGGAAAGGATGAATGAATGAATGAACAAACACTCCTTTCTAGTTGTTAATAGTAGCGGTCATTAGTAAGAGTGATAGTCATTGGAATGGTAGCAGTAATAACAACAGTAATCAGTCAAAGTCATACCAGTAGGACTTGTATCAATTATGCAGCCAAAGATACCAAAGTCAATCAGTCTCTTTTCTCTCCAGGTTGTACTGGGAAGAAAGATTCACATAAAATAAAATAAATGTAAGTTTTAATTGCAAGTTTTTTTCATTTGTTCTTTCTTTCGTTCAGAATCCCCACCCAACTTTATTTTCAGTTTTCTCTCCAGCATCGTCCCATTTTCTTTCTACATTGACCTTTTTTTTTTGTCCTTATTTGAAAACAAATTCAAAGACCATCGTGTAGTTATCGATGAGCCAGTTTTCAAGCCTGCCAGATTCACATCTGCACAACTAGACTTTCAGAAAAGCATGAATTCATCTCTTTTCCCAACAGACAGGGGTTAAGGTTAAATAGAGTAGACTGGGCTTTCTAGCCTTGAGTGGCAACCAGTCTAAGAAAAATAAAAACCGAATCCCAATCTATAGAGAAGGCAATGAGAAACTACTCACTCTTTCTAAATAAAGTTTGGCCCTTATCTGTGGAGAGCTACAATCCCTACATCCTGAAGGGACATAGAATATAAAAAAAAAAAAATTAAAAAAAAAAAAAAAAAAAAAAGTTAAGATTTGAGTAATAAAAGTAAATAAATTAAAAAAGTAAATATTTCCAGGCATCAGCAATCAAACTGAACTCCTTCATGCAATCAGCCAAGATATGCTCGATCATTGAGCAAACATGGCCAAATTTAATGATGCTACTGGCTGATAGTAAAAGATATTGTAAAAAGATGGAATGTTATTCAGAAATAGAACTTGAGAAAAAGCTGGAAGGCAGGGGAGAAACTCTGAAGTTAGAAGCAGTAAGGTAGACAAGAAGCAATGCATGAGGGTAGGATTTCTGGTCAGGTGGTCAATGTTTTAGATGAGACGTGGGGGTAATCTGGACAAAAACAGCAGCCAATAACTGGCAAAGATAATCATTCAAGATATTCTGTTGCCAAGTTATTTCAGTAAAAAAAGATAACTAAATCCTGATTCTTGATCTCACTTAGTCATTACAAAACAATGCCTGCTAAGAGCCTCAGTAGCAAATTTAAAAGCATTCCTGTATTGTCATTAATCAAAATTACTGAAGCATAAAGAAATCAATCCAGATTTAGTGAAAAAAAAACAAAAAAAAAAACTAATATTCACTCAACACAAGGCTTGAGAGCCTCTCAAGGTAGATTACTGTGTGGTGTTGTATTAGTGTAAGAAAAGGCAAGAAGTAATGTTTATGGGGCTGTGCTAGAAAGATAAAAGCTAACTATAGACATGAAATGGTTAAGATTATTGTTGATTGATTTGGTTTATTTTGTTTTACAGCATATCAACCTCAATGGGTTATTTAATGCCAACAAGATTTTTATTACTGGTAATTTTTTTTTTATTTTTCAAAAATGTATTGCTGGTAATAAATTTTTTACAAAGTATTTTTGATATTAAGACCTATTTTTACACTTCCATAGTGTTTTGAACTCAGTTTGGGGGGTTAACTATTTACCCATATCTGGAACCTTAACAGGTGCTACCATCCAGGTCAGGATGGACCTAGGAACACCAGCAATTAAGAGGTGGCTCCTCAAAACCTCCTGATCAGAGGACTTGCTGTTGGACGTAGTTTATCATCTTACCCAAGAAACAGATGCAGTTTATCCTCTTACCAAGGACACTTGTTGATTAGGAAAACAGTCTGCTGAGGATATGTTCCACAAAGCAGCAGTTCTTGGGGAAAAAGATGTCTGAATTGAACTTACTCCTTACTAATGGAATACAAAGGGTATAGGATGATTCACCCTTGTGTATGTGACATGGCAGGTCCTTGGTAGGATCCACAAAAATTCCTCTTTCTTTACTATTTTTCACTTTAACTGATATTTTTTTTTAATCATTTCACCCCAAGCAAGGCAATAATGCCATAAGATGCGCAAGAGGTTACTGACAGTGAAAGAGAATGGGAAGATAGCAAGGACAATAAAAAAAAACAAAAAAAAAAAAAAAAAACAGGGGATCAGTAACACAGAAGATATTGATTGGCGTTTAAATTTTTGAAGATTGTAGATGGCAGGGATGCAAGAAACCGGAAGGTGGCCGAGTGGTTAAAACATTCACATTCTGACCAAGAGACCTGGGTTCGAATCTCACTATGGTCAATTTGCCAGGAAGGAAACTTCCTGATGTTATTGGACTGGAGGAGCCAAACCCAGTATGCGGCAACTTTGGAAAGTGCCTGAAAAACCATACCACATGTTAACCCAAGCCTTGTGAGTGAGATTGGGTAGACGGAACCCTTGGGGGGGGGGCATCAATAGCTGTGCTAGCATGCTGGCCTTGTTCAAATTGTTGATCATGCTAGATAACATATGCTCTTTCCCAGAAACTGTAACTAAGGTCTGCTCAGCATAGTTGCAGTATAAAATACAGGTGGGTTCTGTGGGTGTTGAATAAACATAAATGCACCTGAGCAAGTGTCTGCAATAGGGATTGGCTAACTACCATAGTAGACAGGTATCTTCGAATATGAGTGGCCAGCTATATATATATATATATATATTCCATAGGTAACATGTGCAAGAAAAGAAACATAAGGTTGCTTCTAGCTAGCTCAACATTAATATGATGAGACCTAATTGCCAATCTAGTAGTGCATTTAAATTCATGCAGTCAAGGCACTAAGAACAAAAACTCATCAGAACAATTGCCATGAAAATATTTGTAGAAAAGAGACGGAAGCCATATCACAACAATGGCAAAGTGACTGAAGTCAAGATGCTAGGTCAAGATCAATTATATTACAAAACCTTCTTTGGATTTTGTCAAGAATCTAGAAATAAATAGTAGGGGAACAAGACCAAATATGGAAGCAATGCATGAGGGTAGGATGCACTGATAAATGGTAGATTTAGTGAATACATGTACGTCCTTATAACAAAGAACAACTAAAAAGCACATGCATGTATGCGTGTCAGAGAGCTAAATAAGTAAAATAATTCCATCAAAATGTCCTCACCTTCTGGCAATTGCTGGAACCGATATTTGTCCTGGTTAAGTCGCTGTTGTCTTTTCATCGTTCGTACAATGACGACTGCAAGACGCAAGGCTTCTTTTGCATAACCATGTGATCGAAGAGCATCAACTCGAGAACAGGCAATTGGAATTGGTTCTGAAAGCAGGAAAAACAACTTTGGTTAAACAAAAGGGTCTTCTTAAGGTGGAGCCCCTAATACTAAAAATTTACTCATAAAACTCAAGAAAGAATTTTATTTTTTTTCTAGTCTAAATAATCCTTATATAAATTTATTTTTTATTCCCATATTTTGCTGCTTATAAGATGCATTTGTTTCCTAGAAAATATCCCCAAAACCACCCTGCATCCTATAAATTGAAGGTCAATGATGGGGAGTTATAAGCTTGGGGTCAGCTCCTCAGTTACATCTGATTCTGAAACCTTAAAAATAAAACAATTCCAGTGATTCAAAATTAAATTATCAACAAGTCACCTCCTTGACTAATCAAACATAGTGAGATTTGAACCCAGGTCTCATGGTATGAATATCAACACTAGCCATCTGGCTATGTGCCTACTGATTCATTTAATCAACATTAATCCTATGAACTAAATAACTGAGCAGATTAAGATTTTATCTATGGATAAGCAATTATTTTTATTTTACTCTATTATTAAAATACTAGCATAGTACCGATGAAAGATCAGCATAGTATCTGTGTGCTCTGCTTCAAATCAAAGTGTCACTTCTCTGCCAAGGATCAGTCTAGTATCTGTGTGCTCTGAGTAAAAGTTTTTCAGCTCTAGTTTTGTATTTTGTTTTTTAATCATTTCATCCTAGACAAGGCAATAAAAGCAACAAAGATACCAGGAGTTATTAAGTGTGGAAAAGAAAAAAAAAAAAAAAAAAAGAGGACAATAAAAGAACAGGATTCAACATGATTGCATTTAAATTTTTAAAGACCATAGTAGACAGGAAGCTGGAAGATTTCTACATGCAAAAGGAATACTAGCTTAGAACTTATGGTTACAACTAGCAATCTCAACAATAAAATGATGAGACCTAACTGCCATTCTAGTACTGCACTTAAATGTATGTGGTGAAGCTACCATAAAGGAAAGCTCATCAGAACAATTACCATGAAAATATTTACAGAAGAGGCAAAAGGAAGCTGATATGGTTGAAGAGATGCCAGATTAGGGACAATAATATTGCTGATTCTTTGGTTTTTGTCAAGAAAATTTAGTTATGAAACAAAAGCACCAGAACAAATGTGGCAGTAATATCCAATGTGCTGATAAATGTTAGCCTTATAAATGTGCAAGACAGACTGGGGCGGGGGGAAATTGTCTAGCATGACACAATGCAGACTTTCCTAATCTTGATCTTCCATTTCATTAGCCCCAAATTTTGTAAGTGCTTTTAATTTGTAAAAAAAAAAAAAAAAAAAAAAAAAAAAAAGAAAAATTCAAAATCACAACACTTTGTATCCTAAAGCTAATTTTACCTGAATATTTTCAGCAGCTGTGCACTAGCTTATTGGCACGTCATTTTTTTGTGGGTTGTGAATTTCAATCAGTGCAGATTCCACTTAATCTTATGCTTACATTAGCATTACAAAAGCAGCTTTCTGAAATGCTAATAGCCAGCAATTTTATTGTAAATAAACTTGCAAATATTTAGTAATCTAACTTTTGTCAAGCACAAGGCCATGTCTAGGCAAGCTGTAACTTTGTATTCAGTCATTATTCTGTCTATCCTGAATATTAACAGTGAATGTTTCCAGATGTGTAGCCATCCACATTTATAAAAACTGTGACACTTTACTACATTTTCTAACAAAAGAGTCCATTAATATAAAAATGGGCAAAATTGCTAGTCTCTTCAGGCCATAGAATTTTCTGTTGACATAAGTCATTCTTAAATTTTTAGCTTGCAGATCTAGCAATAGTAATTTGTATTGGGCTAAAAAAAAAAAAAAAAAAAAAAAAAAAAAAAGTTGCTTCACAGATTTGTTGAAGTTTCATTGAATGCAATAATTTTGTTCCTATGATTGCAAGGAATTTAAAAAAAAAAAAAGAAGACTACAGTCATTACCCACCATGCCAAAGAGCGAGTCCCTGTGAGTCAAAATGGTCAGAATCCCACTGGTCTTCATGATATCCACAATCTTCACTGAGGATCAATTGGAGGTGCTTGTCATTCCAGCTCAGCTGACTTGCTTCCAAGGAACGATGGAATATTGTACGTGGCTTTGGGCGGGAGGGTCTCCGGGAGGAACCTGGATGAGGTGGATAAACAAAATCAAGAGAATACGATCAGAATTTTACTCTAGTTAAGTGTTTTAGTATTTTATAACCAAAGGTTTTTATCATAAATTATAATAGTATTAGACAACACACACACACATATATATATATATATATATATATATATATATATATATATATATATATATATATATACACACGTACGTATGTGTGAAGTCAACACTTAAAGGCAACAAGCTGTTTCAGACCTGACGATTGCGTCTAGCATGAAACAGACTGTTGCCTCTAAGTATTCACTTTTATATTTACACACGCTCTATCTGATACTGAGCACTTTATCCATAAATATAGCACACCTTAAGAGTATATTTCTTCTTATATATATATATATATATATATATATATATACACACACACACACACACACACACACACAGATTATTTACTCATTAACAGGGTTGCAATGATGTGAACCAGTCAATTTTGTTACATTTACTTACATGCTAGTACCCTTAGGAAAAATATGAATTAATTTCCTTTTTCTCTCACCCCAGCTATGGGTTAAATAGTAAGTATCTGGAAAGATGATTGTCTCTTAAAATTGTTAATACAGTATCCACTAACAAAAAAAAAGCCAAAATGTTTTGGCTTTAAATAACCCACAAAAGGTTTATAAGTCATAAAACAAAACAAAAAAAAAGATCAATCATGCAGTACAGTTTTCAAAATGGCCATTCCTTTACTTTGAATGTTTCTGAGCTCTATATTCCCCACTCCTGTTTTTCAAGCAGAATGTGTCAGCTTGCTGATAATTTGAAATAATTTAAATTCCTTTTGTTTATTAATGCATTCACATTCTTGAATTCTATGATTTTCAGCTTCTCCATGGACTGCAATTACTTCCTGTTTTTTCATATATATAAGATAAAAAACAAATACAAAAGGTTTTTTTCTTTTTATTAAAGCTTTGTCAGAGATTAAGAGAAAACAGACAAAAAGACAGAGCTTTAGTATTTTCAATTTTGTTTGGATCATTTCTCATTGGTCAGTCATGTATCACATGCATTAAAACGGTAGATAATTCTGTATGCATGTAGGCTTGTAAAAATTCTAATATCTCTAAGCAGGCAGGAGATGGTAATGTGTATTCGTAATTGTGTATTTGCATATCTAGTAGGAGGAGTTCTAATGTTTTCATCTTGTGCAGTCAGATGGCAGAGTGGGGTGGCACTCCATTTATCTGGGGCTGTTTTTACATACGTACATTTTGTATTACAAAGATAGAAGTTAGATTCTTTAAGAATAGATTCCAAGAAGGATGGCGATGCAATATGTTTATATATCTGGGTTCAAATAACCCCAAACTGAACTTCTTAATGTGTCTATACTTGATCATGATCTCTGACCTCCCGTTCAATAATTCTGTGCTCTTTTTATACGTTGCTATAGCTAGTTTCTCTTCTTGGCATAGCTAACATGTATTCCCAGTTTTGAACAAAAGTACTTAAGTTTGGTTTGATTTTACGGCATATCAATCTCAATGGTTCATTTAATGCCGACAAAATTTTATTGTTGGTAATTTTTTTTCTTTTTTTTTTTAAGTCTATTTCTGGTAATATTTTTCCTTCACAATTTGTATTTCTGGTTATAATTTTCTTTCAATTACATATCACTGGTAATTTTTGTCTTTTAAAAATGTATAGCTGGTAATATATATATATTTTTTTTTTTTTTCTCCTTCAAAAACATATAGCTGTAATACTTGTTTTTCAAACAAGCATTTTTTTTTTTTTTTTTTTTAGATTTTTCTGTCAATCCCAATTTCTTTAATGAAATTTATGATGTTACTTGGATTAGTATTTTCAGATAGATCCTTTAGGTTATCCGATTTGTAGTGTTTACTACGGATTCATCGGAGATTATAGCAATTTAGTAGGATGTGTTTGACTGTATAAGATTCTTGACATCGGACATGCTGGAGGTCCATTTTTTTAAATGTTGGTGGGTTATGTATGTGTGACCAATACGGTGTCTGGCTAGAACCACCTCCTCTCTCCTTATCTTTCTGGAATTTGCCAGTCTTTCACTGATGATAGGTTGAATATTGAAAAGTTTGTTATCGCAGTTGTTCTATAATTGCTGTCATTAATGTCTTTAATGTCTGAAGTCTGTGTGAGGGGCAACATTAAAAAGTACTTAAGTTGTTGAGCTCCATTTGATAACCATTTCACTGAATAAACCACCTGAAGAGAGACCTTAGTGGTCGAAACTGTAATATTGTTCCGGCCAGCATTCGTATCTTTTTCAAAACATTAAACAGCTCTGCAAGTCTGGTCTTCCAACTTGTTATTGAGCACGTTTGACGCATATAATCTTAGCAAATATTTTACCATTTGTTTACTCTGGCATGTACATATATAATTTTAAACCATTTTTTCATGTGGAATAGAAGTGTTAATAAAATAGCCAACTGTCAATGACATCAATTATGAACATGGACACAACATGCTGACCATGTTTAGAAATTAAAAATATATATATATATATATATATATATATATATATATATATATATATATATATATATATATATATATATATAAATAATCAGTGTAACAAAAGAATAAAAACATCCTTGATAAGAGATAGATTAGCTCTGCTCCACAAATCATTTGGACAGTTTTTTATGCACTAAGTCCAGAAAAGAAATCACCTTGTACAAATTCACAGTTCCTTGTCAGTTGTCTTCAATGAAACTTGTATAAAAAGAAAAACTGCTACCCAAATATATAACTCATTGAATACTCTGGCTATATCTCAAATTCTAAAACAAAAACCCACTGATTATCAATTGGGTTGAACAAAGTCTAAGGCAACTCCCACTATTTTTTATTTATTTATTCAATAAATGGCAGAGATTTAAACTTGGTCATCCTGATAACTGGTTTGTATGCATGGGGCTTACCAGGATTTTCCTCATCAGAACTGTCATCATCGGCAGGATTATCTATCTGATACCGGGTGTCAGCATCTTCCAAAGGGCACATCGGGACGGACGACCACTGTTCAAGCAGCCGGCGCCAGTGATCTTTTTCTCCCTGGGAACAAGATGGATTTAAGACCACACAGATCCACAAGACACCTAGAAAAGAAAGAGGGAATCAATATTTGAAACCTTTGACTAGATTTACAGTGTGGGGTTAAAGAAAACTGCTCACTCAAAAGAGGAAAATGTGGGGTGGGGGATCTATTTAAAATTTGGTATGTTTATGAGGGGTAAAGTGTTTAGTATTGGGGACTGAGAAAAGGCACATATACATCATGGCATTAAGATCACTTCAGGCATGAAACTGACAGTTACCATGTTAATTTTGGCAGTGTATTTAAAACACTATCTGTAAAAAAAAAATTTAATGAACACTCAATAACATTAGCTTTAAAGGTTGGAAAATTTAAATGTCAATCATTATCAATGACAGCAGAGATACATATGAAGATAAATGAGGCAACAAGAAAATCCATATCTTATGTGTGTGTATATATATATATATATATATATATATATATATATATATATATATATATGTGTGTGTGTGTGTGTGTGTGTGTGTGTGTGGATAAGTGCATATATAAATGAGAAAATAAACAGTCAATTGCTGATATCCTCTGAGGAGTGGATGAAGTGATTGCTGTGAGGGTCCATTTATAAAAAGGTAACACCAATCAGCAAAGTGACAAATTTTATACAAATTCTCTATCTCTCATATATATATATATATATATATATATATATAAAAAAAAAAATCAATAGGAAAACTGTAGTTTTAATTGATACGTTTTGCCCAATGTCTTTTCTAATAGAATCACTATTCTCCCAAGCCAATGTACACAAATATATCAAGAAATCAGAAGAAAATGGTTGAATCCGTCAACACAATACAAACAATATTTCTACACATGAAAATATTCTCTTCAAACAAAGTAATTGCCATAATTTTTAAGTTGACCATATGAATATACAATAGTGTTTCTAAATTCTTCTAGTTGCTAATGACGTTTTGTTTGTTGTTTATAGATACTTTGTTTCAATAAATTCATTTTTTTTTTTTTTTTTTTGTTAGTTAAAAATTTACATTTATTTGAACAAAGTATCTATAAGCAAACAGTTGTTTTTTGGGGTTTTTTTTGCTATCCTCCGCCAGCCGCAATAATGGTGAAAGAATTACCTCACACCATCGCCAGTGAGACACGCTACAAGAGCCACTCATTTTGCAAGGCTCGGTCCTTAATCGAGACACTACCCCGTCAACCCTTCAAAGGAACACCATCGAATGAGGGTCAATAACCCCGGAAGTTTCCACTGCCACAGGAGTGGAGAAAAAAAAAAAAAAAAAAAAAAAGAAAACTTAAATATTCTTTTTTCTTTTTATCTCCACATCCCAAGTGACAGACCCTGGCTCAACCATGGACCTGATCTAATTACCGGCCGAAAATGTCCTAGCACAGGTCGCATCCCAAATCAACAACTTCCCCTATTTTAAAAGGGAAAATGGTAATGCCATCTGGCTGCTTTCCATCACAACAGTTGAGGCCTACAGGTTCAATTTGGGAAGGGAACCCAGCTACATCCAGACTTATGATGATGTTTTATTGCAGCATGCCTTGGAAGCAGTCGGCACTGATGATGACAGGAGAGAAGATGCAAACCAAACTCATCAATAGAAGCATCTTCATCTGTGATGCTCACATAATTTGAGCCAAAGACGAATTACGACTGACCAGAGAGCACTCATCTAGAAGGGTACCTGTAGATGAAGAGGGCACCATATTGAGCCAGATGCCACAACTTGGCTGTGAAGCATTTAGTAGACAGGCGAGGCAGTGCTGTTCAAGAGAGAACCTCAAATTAGTAAAATTGGCCTCGCATTTTATTTTATGCCAGCATTTCTCTCTTGCGGTGTCTAGTAATTCTTGGGCCCGGATGCTGCATGCTTGTTCGAAAGAACTACCTGAAAAACACCAAAATGATCCACCATTAATTAATTCACAACTGGAAGAAAGATATGATGGAAGGACCAAGTCTGCCGCTGATCAAAGTCCCAGTTCTCCGAAACTCAAAGGGAGCTTCATTTTGTTTTTTGGCTTGAAAAAGTCTACATTTTTTTAAACATGTTGTTTAGAACTACAGTTTTCATATTGTCTTTTTTCTTTACATATTTAATATTATCCTGCTTCTTATTGCATTGTTTTCAGATCATTTTAAAAAAAAAAAAAAAAAAATGTGCTTCACTTTGGTTTCATGCCATCATGGAAATAATTTATGAGAAAAACGAAATGGGAAAGCTGATGACAAGAAAGTATAAACATATCTTACCAAGTTCATCCCATAAGAGCCGACATTTGTCTGTCATTGTTGCTCCTTGAGATTTCCAGAGAAGCAGTCTGGGGTCTGCAAGAAACTGTTCTGTTATCAGTGTCAGCATCCTAGCACCATTGGAATCTCTCACACGTAGCATCTCTCGGATCTAAAAAAAAAAAAAAAAAAAAAAAAAAAAAACTTAAAATTATGATTTTTAATTTACAAGAGAAGTTAAAAAATAAAAATTCATGCTTAGGTGACTTCCAAGGATATCATCTAAAAGAAAACCGCATTGTGCAGCCCATCCTGGGTATGACGATAAACTACATCCGTGTCCTGGGTAAGACGATAAACTATGTCCAACAGCAAGGAGGTTTTCAAGGAGCGTGGAACCACCTCTTAATTGCTGGTGTTCCCAGGTCCACCCTGACCCAAGCTGTTAGGGAACCAGCTATGGGCAAATAGTTAACACCCAAACTTGTGTTTTATTACCAGAAATATTTGTAAAAAAAAAAAAAAAAAAAAAAAAACAGCAATACAAACAGCTATAAATTCTTTGAAAAAAAAATATGACCAGCTATAGATTTCTTCAAGGAAAAATATTCCAGAAATAGATTTTTGAAGAAAAACATTACTAGCAATAAAAATTTTGTCAAAATTAAATAAGGTTGATATGCCATAAAACAAAATAAACCAAACTGATCTAAACCAAAGAATACATATTCTATTCATACGAATCTATCCTAAAAATGTTGTCGGCATTAAATAACCCATTGAGGTTGACATGCCGTGAAACAAACCAAACCACATTGTGCAGCACCCATTCAGAATGACTTAAAACTACACCATGGATTGACCAAAGCCTTTTGGGTGGAACTGGATAGACAAAAGTTCAGGAGCTTTGCTAGCATGAAGTCACAAGTCATCGTGACCAAGGGTTAAGAATAGGGGCCTTGTTGAAAACTTGATCAGGCCAAATTATGCACTCTCCAGTAAATGTAACTAAGGTGTCTACAACAGGGATTAGCTAATCACCTGAGCAAACTCCCAAGTCTCACAAGACTGACAGATATCTACCCCAATAGGCTCACAAAAGATCTGTTACTTCTCGGCTTAGACAAAAATCCAAGTGGGCATCGAGTCACTTTTTATTTATTTTATTTACATGTGCTGAAAACCAGCCTAAATTTATGAGTTTCTCCTGGAACAGCAGGAAGTAAAGACGATGAAAAATGGTAGAAGTATCTTCGTAAATACAAATGTAAATTCTGAAATTTGTTTTATTTTTGTTTCAATATTTTTATATTTAAAATAGGTCTTCATCTTTTCAATATTTAACAACAAAAAAGAACAAAGACATGATTTTTTCCTTTTCAAGCAGAATGTGTCAGCTTGCCAATAATTTGAAATAATTTAAATTCCTTATGTTTATTAATCCATTCACATTCTTGAATTCTATGATTTTCAGCTTCTCCTCCATACATGGCCTGTAATTTCTTTTGGTTCTCTTTCTCTCTCATTATATATATATATATATATATATATATATATATATATATATATACACACACACACAATGTATGGGGGGGGGCAGGTTCCACACACCCAAACAAGGACAAAATATATAAAAATGTCCACAAATCCTTCGTTTTTGAGTTAAGTCTAAAGTTTACAGTAGACAGTGATAAATGTACAATTGAAGATACAATCCAAAATATTTTTTTTTTTTTTTTTTTTAAAAAAAAAAAAAAAAAAAAAAAAAAACTTTGGGGTGGGTTCCTGATTCTACCATAAACTTTCTTTAAACTTAATTACTCAAAATCAAAGGATTTGTGGATACGTGTTTATATAGACTTTTGTTCTTGTTTTGGTGTGAGAAACCTGCCCTAAAGTTTGTAAAAGTGTATATGTGTATATATATATATATATATATATATATATATATATATATATATATATATATGTGCTTTTTCTACAAAAATTCAAAATGAGTCCAACGTATTTCTGAAAGATAATGCTGACAAGGCAGAGTTATGCACTCAATATTAAAGAAAGAGAGCATATTATCTCATTTGTTTGCTAAATATATGCACAAGTGTCCTTTTTTGCCTTGGATCACCCAAACTATTAGTTCTTTTTCACATTTTTCAAGTGAAATACAGTCAGCGTGCTAACAGTTTGAAATAATTTAACTCCTTTTGTTTCTTAAACAATTCATATTCTTGAATTCTAAAGAAGATTTTCTGTTTCTCCTCCATAGATAGAAATTTAATTTATTTGTTAAATAAAAACAAAAAAACAAGGAATTTGCAAAACAATTATGGCCCCTCTGAATTTTACCTACAATTGTAACTACACTTAAGAAAAAGGATTATCAAGGGTCAGGAATAAAATCAATAAGGGTATTACAAGTGTTATATGTAAACATTTACAAGAGAAATGCACAGTAAATTAAAAGGGCTTGTTAGCGGTCAGGAATTAAGTCCATCTTAATACATATAAAGAGTTAGTGACTGACCTTTGAAAACATGGAATTGAGTTGATTGGCTGAGGTACAATATCCTCCCTGAGATAGATATGTCTTGACTTGTTCCTGAACCTGTTCCTCATCCAGGTGCCAACTATGGTCATCTTCTGCTGAAGCCCCTGCCGTTGGATCAGGAGCACCTGAAGATGGAAAGAACAAGTTGAGTACAGTTTTGAAAACACAACCAAAGAAAGATTAGTGAATATTCACTCAAAATAAAGGTAGACATCTTTTTTCGGTACCCTTCTCACATATATATAATATACACACAAATAAATAACTTTTAGTAGCTTATATGTGCTGTCAAACAACGTAAGTAACATCAATGTGCAGTGTGTCCCCTCAGGACATTGACGATCATGGCTCTTCACAATTTTCTGTCCTTTGTAGCTCTTAATAAATTTTTTCCTTTTTGACATCTCTCCCAAACCCTGCTCTGTCATTCATTCTCTCAAGCTCACCAGGTAGGTTGTGTGTTGCTTTCCTATCTGTTTTGCATTCAATCTGTCCTGTGAGTATCAAATTTTCCAAGCCCTCTTTCCTCATTATGTGCCTTAGAAATTTCAAGTGTCTCTTCCTGTTGTTAAGCATAAGTGTTCTATTTTGTTGGCATTGTCTCTTAAACAGTCATTGCTCCCATGTTTGGTCTATGGTATTCTTAGCTTTTTTCTGTAGAACCAAGTATCTGGTGCTTCAAGTCTCTTCTTCATCTGTGAGCAGATTGTCCAGTTTTCAATATTAGTAATATTGCAATTACATTCTACTAATAAACTATCAATTTTGGTTGCCCTGTATTCTTTTCATGTTCAATACTTCTTAAATATTAAGATAATTGATCTACCTAGTCTTCTTGAGATATATATATATATATATAGTCATCCACAGAGACTGTTTTCTTGTATCACAGCTCATCAGTGTGGCTAAACATCCAGTTGTGTTTAGGTAGGATCGAAACCCAGCTGAATTGGCATCAGTCAGAGATTCTACCACAAAGCCGTCAGCGTTCAGCAGGGATGAAGGTGAATTTAAGCGTATTTATTTTTAGATGAACACATAGTGACTGAAAGGTCTCAGTTTGTTTTACTGAAGGGCCTTGTTATATTAGCTGTAATAGTCACTGTTTACAAACCCATACTTCCTTCCCCAGAGAGCTCAACTGAAATTTTTCAGGAGCATATATCTCCAAAGGTAAAAGAATGAAAAGAATATAAATTCAAACATTCATAACATTAATTTACCACCATTGTTAGCCACCTGATGAGACGTCGAAACAAATATGCATTTTTGTTGTGGTAACTTGCATGTACCAATGTAACAGTTTATAATATATATATATATATATATATATATATGACGATGTAATGGAATAACCTGTCACCCCCATGAGTGACTACACAATAGGTAGTAACTAACTATAAGTATCTGTAAGTCAACAGATTACAGAGCCTAGCTGTGACCTGTTCAAGCTAAACAGTCGAACTCTCTGCCTTCGGGCAGAGAGGAACCCAGACGAGGCTCTGCCGAAGGGTAGAGTCTCGTTCGGGAAGGCAGACTGCCCCTGAACCAGTTTATATGGGTTCAAAAGGGAATATTTTGGGCTGAGCCGATGAAGTCGGAGAACCCACGTTAAACCGGCCTTGTGCCACATGCAACCCTCGTAAGTGGGGGTAGCTAAATATACTAGCTGGGATCTGTTGAGTATGACTCAGACTTACGCGAGAACTACTGACCTTCCAATAGTAGCACTCACTACTGGATTGACTTGCAACAGCCTTGTGCATAACTGTTACCACTATTCTTACTGTACTGGTGTTTACAACAAACCTTTACTTATTTTCTCCATGTTTTTCAAGTATATTAGCATGGAATTTATTTATATATATATATATATATATATTAATAGCTTTGATCAAAATTTGGAGTGGCGATGGAATTCTGAGGAGTGCCAATGAGTCCATAGATCAACTTACCAAACTTCAGTATTTCAATAAAATGAAACATCGGAATTTTTTTTTTTTTTTTTAGAAAAGGTTAAGAAACTTTAGAATCAACATGCCTGGTGCATTGGACAAGGCTGATTTTTCACTTTTAAGACAAAAGAAAATCAACATTGCACTCAGGGTGAAACCTGAGGTTTGATGTCATAAGCACCGATACCAAAATTTAGATTCATAGATTTTTATCAATTTTTGAGCATTTACTTTCTGATGAGGAAGAAAAAAAAAAGGTTTATAAAAGTCTTTATTTGTCACCTGGTAACTGGTTTATTTCTGACTTGGCCTGCAAGATTTCATCTGCAATTTTCTGTGCTGTGGGTAACACTTCTGTGTGGTGCTCGGCAATCAAATATTGTGAAAACTTCTGCAGTTGCTCTCGACTCATCTGCAGTAACGTTTCTGGAAATAAAAAGTGAGAATAAAATGGTAAACCGATATTGCAGAAACTTATCTAATATATACTTGTTTCTGGATTCTGAATTTTGCAATTTAGAATCTGATAAAAAAAAAAAATTTTAAAAGTGAAGAAATGCTTATGAAAAATAAGTGATGACACTAGAAAGATTAGCCTTAGACATTTTATTGGTCTAGATTGTAAATCTGTGCTTAAGTTTTCTTTGCTTTTGAGAAAAATAACTGACAAGAATTTGTTCAATACAGTACAACTCTGTTGGATTGCATTCTGAGAAAAAGTGAGTGCAATCTGACAATTTTTACTCATATGCAAATAAGGTTGGTTGGTTGGTTAATTTTGTTTACTGGCATATCAACCTCTATTAGTTATTCAATGTTGTTTGGTGTGTAATTCTATGCTTTCAACTACAGATATTTTGTACATCATTTTATACTTTCAGAGTAAAGTTACGTTTTTTAGATATATATTTTGTAGATCAGAAAATGTATTGTTGGTAATTTTACTATAAAAATGTATTTTTATATTTTTTTAGTGTTGTTTTGATCGTCTTTTTATAGAAACGCACTGCGGGGGTCGTCTTTTTATAGAAACGCACTGCGGGGGTCGTCTTTTTATAGAAACGCACTGCGGGGTCGGGGAAAAACGGTTTTTTATAGAAACGCACTGCGGGGGTCGTCTTTTTATAGAAACGCACTGCGGGGGTCGGCTTTTTATAGAAACGCACTGCGGGGGTCGGCTTTTTATAGAAACGCACTGCGGGGGTCGGCTTTTTATAGAAACGCACTGGGCGGGGAAAAACGACCATGGGGTCGGCTTTTATAAAACGCACCGCGGGGTCGGCTTTTTTATAGAAACGCACTGCGGGGGGTCGGCTTTTTATAGAAACGCACCGCGGGGTCGGCTTTTTATAGAAACGCACTGCGGGGTCGGCTTTTTATAGAAACGCACCGCGGGGTCGGCTTTTATAGAAACGCACCGGCTTTTTTTTATAGAAACGCACCGGGGGGTCGGCTTTTTATAGAAACGCACCGCGGGGGTCGGCTTTTTATAGAAACGCACCGCGGGGTCGGCTTTTTATAGAAACGCACCGCGGGGTCGGCTTTTTATAGAAACGCACCGCGGGGTCGGCTTTTTATAGAAAACGCACCGCGGGGGTCGGCTTTTTATAGAAAACGCACCGCGGGGTCGGCTTTTTATAGAAACGCACCGCGGGGTCGGCTTTTTATAGAAACGCACCGGGGGGTCGGCTTTTTATAGAAACGCACTCGGCTTTTTATAGAAACGGGGGGGTCGGCTTTTTATAGAAACGCACCGCGGGGTCGGGAAACGCACCGCGGGGTCGGCTTTTTATAAAAAACGCACCGAAACGCACCGGGGGGGTCGGCTTTTTATAGAAACGCACCGCGGGGTCGGCTTTTTATAGAAACGCACTGCGGGGTCGGCTTTTATATAGAAACGCACCGCGGGGGTCGGCTTTTTATAGAAACGCACCATGGGGTCGGCTTTTTATAGAAACGCACTGGGGGTCGGCTTTTTATAGAAACGCACTGCGGGGGTCGGCTTTTTATAGAAACGCACTGCGGGGGTCGGCTTTTTATAGAAACGCACTGCGGGGGTCGGCTTTTTATAGAAACGCACTGCGGGGGTCGGCTTTTTATAGAAACGCACTCACGGGGTCGCTTTTTATAGAAAACGCACAAGGGGGTCGGCTTTTTATAGAAACGCACTGTCCGTAACAATGGAGTAATGGATAACAGCTCAGATTGAGAGATTGAAGAGCCGAGTTCAAATTCCAGTCGAATCCATTACATTCACTTATGTGCTAATACTCTTAGGAAAGGTATGAATACTCTTCTCCCACAAGCTATGAGTAAATAGTAGGACAGACCGTGTTCTATAGCCTTGGATGGCAACTGGTCTACCGCAGAAAGAAATGGCAACCTACTGTAGGGAAAAAATCTGCCTTGTCAGTCATGCATCAAAAGATACATGATTGCCTATGTTTGCATCATCAATGGCACATAACTGACTGTCGGTCATTTTATAAAAATGTACTGCAAGTCATCTTATAAAAATGTACTGTTGATTTTTGTTTGTGGAGGTTCACTATTTGCCCATAGTTGGGACCCCAACATGTGCTACCACTCCGGATCAGTGGGGACCTGGGAACAAGAACAGTCAAGAGATGGTTCCATGCTCCTCAAAACCTCCAATCTCCCAATCAGTGACCTTGCTGCTAGATATAGTTTATTGTCATTGCAAATAATAATACTGCTCTATGATTAACATTAATAGCTATCTCCCTTAAGTCTTTGTTTTTTTATTATTATTATTTCACTACTAATGCAGATGCCACAATATTAAAAAGAAAGATACAAACTTTTGTGTATCTGTAAAAACATGATATTTCTAGCATCTAACTAATCTATAAGCAGAAGTTTCAGTGAAAGGTGACGACTATCAACGAGACCTAGAAATAAGTTGACCTTGAGGGGTGGGGCAAGTAGAAGAGAGTGGGTCTATCATGGGCAGTAAGATAGTGTTTTTTTTTTGTTTAAGTGGGGAGTATCTAGGGGAATTAGTATATAAAAAAGCAGCAAGCAAAATTAATTTCACCATTTTTTCCTAAATTTACTTTGTGATAAAATAATATAGACATTTACTTTGAGTCTTACACTAGTAACTGAGTCAGTTACTAATAATATTTCATCCTAATGGCTTTTCTAAGGGAATTTTTTTTTTTTTTTTATTTATAGCTAGACTAATGTTCTTATCTTTGTTAATGCTATGATAATGTTTCAGCTATAATACACTCTGGCCTTCTTCATGTGTAAATAATATAACACCACATCATTAAAAGGTTTTACTTTGAATAAACCTTACATTTTTACTGAGATTGTTATAAGGACAGGATGTAAAAGGTGGAAGTAAAAAATGAATTTTTTTTTTTTTTTTTTTTTTTTTTTTTTTACCCTTACAATTTAATTTACTTAATTTAATGATTTTGAAAAATTTCCCATCTTTTTTTATTGTACTTTTCTTTTTTGCCTGAATTCAAAATAAAACAAATGATTAAATGGCTGTAATTGTAGTCATTATATACAAGACGTTGTTTAAATAGACAGAATTTTCTACAACCACTCTGGGCAACACAAACATTAGGTATTTCACTGCAACTAGGCAAGGAACAAGCCCAGGAGAACGTCATCTCTCTTAACGAGGACATTGTACTTAAACCAATCAGCTAACGTTCAGGCTTTCAAAGCTCATTCTGTTAGCATAGGATTTTGATTAATCCAATTTTATATAAGAACACCAAACCAATTAGGCTACAAAATCTATAATACTTGCCCAGAGTTATTTTAATCTCATCTTTCACACCTGTCTTTTTATTTTAATACACTAGGTGTGGTGATTAATCAGATTGCAATTTGGTAAGTTGAAGCAGAGAATGATGGAATAAGCCATTTCTTATTAAGATATTATTTTTAATGGGTAGACATGTTGGAGTTGATATCTCCATTTTCTTACAAAGTCCTACTAAAGAAAAACATACCTTCCAACAGGTATTGAACGTGGATTCCTTTTTACCATCAGGGAAACCACTCCCAAGACCAAAGCATGCCCATGGGTATCTTCAGGAAATTCAACAGGGATGCCTTTATGCACATCCCTTAAGCTTTGCATGTCTCCTGTTCTCTTCCTCAAAATGACACCTTCCACTCCGAACAACCTCATTCCAATTACTGTGATCAGACGCATGCACACACACACACACACACACACACATATATTTACACACCCTATATAAATATCTGAGCTAGAGTTGAAAAGGCAAAATGCATTACAGCCTTGCAAGAAGATCTGACATTCAAAGAAAGGCATGAAACCACATGCCATTCAATTTGGCCAATGTTAATTTGCCATAGTTCAAAAGTGAATAAACATTTTATGTAAAGAAAAAAAAAAAAATTAGTCTCTTACTCATATCAGATGTTAATAAAATTACAAAATGTCTAAAAACGTTCCTACAATGAGATAAGATAAAGAAAAGAGAAAATAAGAAATCAGAAATTTAGGACACCAAGGACAATGAGAATGGCTAGAGATGTTTATCTGTGTCTTGAAATGAATTCTCATGTTCCATAAAGATTTATCAAGAGAGAGCAAGAGAGAGAGAGAGAGAGACTGATTTCTTTCACTGAAAATTTAATTAAGTCTTCCTCTGCAATAGATTTTGAAATATCCAATAATTTTTTCCCAGACAAATATTGATATTTCAATCAAAATGCAGAAATATTTCCTTCCAGACAACAGTAGAAAAAAAATAAAAGATGGCTGAAGTAGTTGCCTGCAAGGCTGACAAGACTTACCACTCAAACATATGTAATAGCTTTTCCATCTTGTTTTCTTTTTAACTGGTTTTAAAAAGATTTTAACATTTCAAAATATCTGGAAATGTTTAATGAAACTCTTGAGACAAACGATATCATCCTGTTCGATATAAACAGAAAATACTATTTTGGAGATATCAATATAGATGAAGTCACTTACTGTGATCACTTGTTGGCTGACAGCATTAAACAAAGGTTATAAAAATTGGAACAGTATACAGGGATTTTTTAAAAATGAATTCTTATAATACCTCCCACATAAGGGTTTGATTTGTTTTACAGCATATCAACCTCAACAGGTTATTTAATGCCCATCAAAATTTTCATTGTTGGCAATATTTTTCCCTTCAAAAATCTATTTCTGGTAAGAATTTTCTTTTGCTGGTAACATTTTTTTTTAAAAAAAATCTATTGCTGATATTTGTTTTTCAAAAATTTATTGCTGGTAATAATGTTTTTTTGTTTTCTTTTTTACAAAGTATTTCTGGTATTAAAACCTATTTTTACACTTTCATAGTGTTTTGACCCCATGTTTGTGGGTTAACTATTTGCCCATAGCTGGGACCCTAACAGGTGCTACCACACAAGGTCAGGATAGATCTGGGAACATCAGCAATTAAGAGGTGGTTCCACTCCTCAAAACCTCCTGATCAGTGGCCTTGCTGTTGGACGTAGTTTATTGTCTTACTCAGGACATATATGTAATTTATCATCATAGCCAGGATGGCCCACATAAGGGTAAGACATTACCTAGATGAAGACTGTAGCCACTAATGTCTTACCATTATGTGGGAGGTATTTCTGCCAAACCCTGTATAACTGCTCGATAAAAATCACCTGAACATAAACAGCTCATTTTTCATTTTTATGCACACACACGTATGTGTGGAAAAATTTTAACTCAAAACCTGAGGGGAGTTCCGTGTATTCAATTTTTCAAAAAAATGTGGTTGGTTCTGCATGAATTGTCAGCACTATCATCAAAATTACATGTGCAGATAGTGTGGCTGTTTGGTTCTAAGAATTTATTTACTGTACATTCATACATTGAAAAATCACCGGAGAGTTCATATATAACACAAATAATCTAGCAGGCATGACCATAAATAAACCTAACCTATACACCCATACTCCAACCACACAACCAGCATAAATAAACAATCTTATAGTTAGGACCACAAGTAGCCCTCAGCATCCCCACCCAACAGTAAACTGAAAAGCGTCAATTTCCTCTTCCTTCAATTCCTTTCATTCCCCTAGTGACCTATATGCAGCCTGTTAAAGTTTGTAGCACTTGGTTCGAATATTATATTGAAGTATAAAAAAAAAAAAAAAAAAATGACAGTCACTATGCAGCATTGATTCCTATGTCCACCAGGTCCATCTTTTGTGATGTCAACGAATACCCGTTGTCACTTTCATAATGCTCATCTTAGTAGAGACTTTACAATCTTAGATACAACTATAGTATGCGGTTGAACAATACTGGTGTCAGATGCCTGGGAATAACACTCACACTAATAGTACTTGCTCGATAATATTCGCTCGAATAGTAACCCATGTAGTGATCCAAATAGAGAAATAGTATAATGAATGGAGTATAGAATAGTGGTCCGTATAGGACTGAGTAGAAATGCAGATCCAAATAGTAACAGAGAATAGAATAGAAATAGCGATCAGTTAGATACCAAAATAGTTCCTACTTATGTGCTTCCTCTATGGTCATGCAGTCTACTTAATTCAATAATGGGATTGCCCGTGTTTGTTTGCTGGCGATCTATGTTCAAACTTAAGTGTCAGCAGTGATTCTTTATTAAAATATCTAATTTTATCAGCAATATTTTAGCTACAAAAATTTTCTTAAATTAACCAACCAGGATTTTGTGATAACTTCATAATATTTCCTGTTATTTGCCAAAAAATAAATCTTAGAAATTTACAAAAAAGACTGCTTTTCTTACAAGCTTAATTAAAGAGAAATGTTAATTCTTTTCCTTTTTCTTCTTTCTTTGCTCAAAATTTACCAATAGTCTGCCAGGAAAGGAGAGTGTTTGGAAGCCAGTAGAACTCTTACCAAAAAAGTGAATGCCATGATAAATTCAAGGGAATTTTTGCTTATTCTAATGCATGATACAATGTATTCTGAGAAGAGGATTGTATTATCCAAAAGAATCAACTTACCTGATATTGGTACTCTGAGTTGTACAATGTCCGCCTTTCTTATCCGGTATAATGACAAAGCAACGACGTGCTGGCACCAAAATATATCTTTGTTTCCACAACCACATTTTACTGAAGTGATTTTACACCTGAAAATATTAAAAGTAAAATTTTTTTGATAAATACTTCTAGATTTAGGGATTTAAAAAAAAAAAAAAAAAAAAAAAAATTAAAGAAAGATTTTAAATGCCCAAAATATTTACCATTGATAATGTCCATAATTACAGTTGTTTAATAACAAACCAAGTCCTCTTCCCACCCCCACCAAAAAAACAAAAAACAAAAAAAACCTCATTGCTTCAAAGATCAACTGTGACAGATTTCTTAACATTTAATGGTTATAGAGAATTAACAGTCAGCATTGTTGCTATAGTTTTTGTAACAAATAATTTCTTACAGGTTGGATATTGGACAAGCCATTCCAAGGTTGGAATGGCTCGCCCAATATCCAACCAGTTTTGATAGCAGTGTTCTTTTAGACTGATTGACAACTGGGGTTGAATTACCCAATCTATTCTGTTATTTAACACACATCCGAGAGGAAGAGATTGAATAAAGGGTTTTGTTCAAAATTTCCTGAAGGTTATCCAGACTGACAGACACCTGTAGAAGACCAGAGAGTCCAACAGCCAAAATGTTAAAACAACAATGATGAGGATATTTGCTTTTTCATCAAAATATCTCAGTTCAAAAAGGTATCTACATGAAAGTGAAATGGACTTGACTAATTTGAACTTTGCTCAAAAATGACTTCTTCAAAGTCACAAGCAATTACACAACCTGCACATCCCTAAATTATGGACATGAAATCAGGTAGATATGACAATTCTGGCAAACATGGACTTTTGTGACAAAAAAAAAAAAAAAAAAAAAAAAACATTGTCTATTGATACTGCTATTACTTTAACTACCTTCACTCCTCGGCAATGTTTATCATTTTATAAAGCAATTAGAATTGTAATAAAACTTACACATATGAAAGTGAATTTATACATTTTCTTTGTTCTTGAGAATTATCAACAAAAATAATAAAAATAAGAGGCTCAAATATTGCACATTTTATTTAATCTGCTAGTATTATTATCAATTGATGGCTAAACATACCCTATACATATGGACAGTGTTAAAAAAAAAAAAAAGACAAGCTTCCATCAGTCTTAAAAAAAAAAAAAAAAAATGCACCCTGAAAAATACTTATTCTTTGGGTTTTTCATTTTTTAGCTGTTTTTGTAGGTTTTATATATCATATAGTCCCTTTCTTTAGTTCATCCCACCTGGAATCTTACTTTTGAAAACTTCATGGGATCGACAGCAACTCAGTACAGACTGACAAACATTGAATAAAAATGAGCATTTAACAATCCAAGGCTAAAACCCCAAACATTTTTTCCCAATTTTATGACACAAAACATCCCTAATTTACTTTTTTTCAATTTCAAAGTATGTAAGTATGTATATATATATATATATATATATATATATATATATAAATATATATAAAAGCAAATATATGGATATAGATCCAACAGTATGAAGAAAAATATACAGAAAAAACAAACAAAAATCCTAATATGCAATTATGCTGTTTTAATGTTAATATAATGTCAACGTTCGAAAGATTTCAGTTATCTGTTTGGATTGGTCTTGCTTTTATGTTCATCGTCTATTTCTTGTTGAATTGAATATGGTCTATTGTTAATTATGTTTTATGAATATGTCCTGAAGATGGTCTATTAGACCGAAACGTCCGATGTTGACATTATATTATTAAAAGAGCATAATTGCATATTAGGATTTTTGTTTGTTTTATATATATATATATATATATATATATATATATATATATATATATATATATATAAAATTAAAAAAAAATAGTCAGAGTTGAATTAGACCAGGAAACAGTAGCATTAAAAAAGTGTTCAATGTACACAAGATAAAAATTTAACATGTAGAGCTTTTAAGTAGAGAAAATTAGGAGCTCAGCCAATTCTGCTACCATTGGCTTCAACCTTCCAGTATTTTCAGGTGACTTCGGCCAATTGATTTCCTAACGCTTTATTTTTCTTAAAAATAATAAATTTATGAACACTATTTTTTTTAAAATAAAAAAAAATAAGCACATAATGTAAGAAGTTGTAGATGGTGAGGAGCAAGGGAAAAACAAGTTTATTGGAAATGTATTGGTGGGGAATTAGATGAAATATACATTCTTTTCATCCCACTTCATATGAACTTTAGTATGTATACAACTGGCCATAATATCTGATCTTTGATTCAAAAGCTCTCTGGAAAAGTTATAGCTAATTTTTCTTGTTGACAAAAGGTTACAGATGTTATGATTATTGTAAGGTTTTGCTTTTCTTTTTTTTTTTTTTTTTTAAATTTTCCAGTTTACAATTGGATCATTTTTTATTTTTTTTCCTTTAATTTTCACACCATTGGTGAGTTTAGTAGAATTTCTAAGGCTTTCTAGATTAAAAGATAACTTCATTGTACCATCACTTATTAAAGTTACCCTCAGTACACGTTATGTATATTTTATCTGGCCATTTGTATCTAACATTTCTGTTTTGTAAATTACTGCTTCAGTTTTGCAAACACAATCTCATGGACATCTATTTTTCATTTCTATAATTGCATATTTCGCTGTTAATGATATTTTGCTGCATGTTAGTTCTGAAATTTCTGATATTTTGTTTTTTTTTTATTGTGGTTTTTAAATTACTAGTGCAGCTGTAGCTTAATTTAACTGTGTTTTTATTAAATATTTTATGTAATTCGGAATTTGAGGAAATGTTTAAGTTTTCCCTATTTTACACTTGACATCTAATTTAAAGGGGTGAAGTGCTTAAATCAAATATTTTTTCCTTTCCTTGAATTCTTTTTCATTTGAGGTTTAAATTCCAATTTAGTTTTCATTTAAAGTTCTTTCATATTCTTTCTTTTTATCTTTGAAAATTATTTTACTAGAGGAATTTCTAGATAACATGGAATATTCCTTTGGGAATTTGCTTTATATTCTCAAGGTTGCTGGATCTAACATTCACATATTTTAATTTTGTGTTGGTTTCATGTATGGGAAGACTGCCATTTGTAGATTTAAATCTACATCCTAATATTTGACAATTTTCTTATTCATACTGACTTCTATTTCAAAGTCAACGTTTTCAAAAATCTTGAAAAGTGCTTTTCTTATGCCGTCAGTTGTTCTGTTATCTGGCACTATCATTAGCCTGTCATCCCTATAGACGTCATGGTCATTTATATGTACAATTTGTGGATTTTATATAAAATATGTAGGCCTATTAATTCTGAAACCTCAGAACCATCAAAGAAACTGTGGTACATCAAAGATATCCTTTTTGGATTTTTAAGTCTAAGCTTCTCCACTGTGGAATAAAACTGATTTATGGCAATGTAAAATTAGAAATATAGTGTTCATAAATTGAAATCAATTGACCGAAATCACCTGAAGATACTGAAAGATTGAAACTAAAGTAGCAGAATTAGCTGATCTCTCTCACACACACACACACATATACATTATATATATATATATATTTTCATTCTGGTGGCATAAACTCGAGTATCAGTCTGAACAGTCTTTTTTTGAGTCATGTCACTGGATAGCATAATTGCTCGGTCTTGATCATTTAGACAGAACACTCAGTTACAACTGAAGTCTTGATCTTTTCTGTTGCTTTTTTTTTTTGGTTATCAAGTTTTCTCTTCATTTTTCATTTTTTTGTTTCATTTGGTCAGTACTGTGTGTGTACATATATATATATATATATATATATATATATATATATATACATAAATTCCCAAGAGGATAGAATCCAGGTTGAACTCAATGTCCAGGACAGAGTAAGAATATAATAAAAAAGGCTCAAACACTCATATTCCTTAGTCATGATTTAGACTTACAAATTCAAAAAGCTTTTTGAATTTGTAAGTCTGATGAATTGGATTGTGATTATGATTATGATTCAATGTAATAAACTATGACCATGGAAATTTAGTGTTTGAGCCTTTTATATATATTTCATTTTTTTTTTTTTTTTTATTAGTTAAATATACACTTATGATCTAAGGATTTTTATAATGTTTATTATCAATATTCTTTATTATACATTTTTTTTTGTTTTAAATCTGATTGACACATGATTTTACGAGAGCTTGTATTTTTTCAATTTCTATATTTTCTTTTATGTTTACACTTTGAAAATTTTATTATCTTTGAGAAATGTCTTATGTTTTTATTTTCTTAAATTATTCTCATAGCTGATCTGTTTTCATTTTTTTTTTTATATCTCATGTCAGTCAAAATTTCTTTGATAATGTGCACACACACACACACATATATATATATATATATATATATATAAATAGAAACAAATGTCATCAGATATACATGTGATGTCTACGAAACCAATAAAAATCAAACAGAATTTACAGATCGCGACATCAGAGAGATGAAATTTAAATTTTTATTGCATTATTACAAAATTTTAACACCTCAGCAGATAGTTATTAATGTCAACAATTGAGAAAAAATAGTTATTAATTAGTAATGTCCAATATTATCCGTAACTACATGTACAAGAATTTCATTTTTGATAAAAGTTAAAAAAATAACCATAAATACATAAAAAATGCATATATAGTCAAAAATTTCTTTTTCCCACAATATAGCTATTTGTGCTATGTTATAATACTTATTACCTAAACAATAATACTGAATAATTTTTTTTTAAACATTAAAGTATATTTAATCACATCTTCCAATAGCTGTCACAATTTGTTATTAATTGAAATGTAACTCCACACTTCCACAGAATTCCTGATTAAGCTAAACACAATGTTAAATTTATGAAGGCTTCTATATGTTCCTTATTTAATCTTTGTCAGAATTAATCAATATTTTCAAATCATAAGAGAATGAAACAGTTCTCAGCCTGCCCAATTTCCTAAAATCAGCAAATCTAATGTTCGGTCATTGAAATACTGATTTTGGGAAGTGGATTGAGCAAAAAAAATATTCAATGTTTATTTTTCTCTTTCCCATATATATATATATATATAT